TGCGGGGCAGGAGCAGACCCTGCTGCTCGCTCTGCTTTGAAGGCCCCGGGGGGCCTGGGTGGCTCCGGGGGGCGGGGGGGGGAAGCAGCTGGCGCCCAGGCAAACGGGTCAGCGCCCTCCTGCTTTGCGCCACTCCAGGGAATGTCCTGGCTCCCAGCCCCGCCTTGGCTCTGACCACTAGACCCCACTCTTCCCTCAGCGCTGGGAAGAGAGCCCAGGCGTCCCTGCTCCGAACCCCCTCTAACCGCTAGACCCTGCTCCCCTCCCGGAGCCAAGCATGGAACCCTGGAGTCCTGCCCCCAGCTCTAACCCCTGAACCCCACTTCCCTCCATCGCCTTGCACGCCCGGCAGGTTGTAACCGGGAAGCTGGTTTCCTTGGCAGGGGCCCTGTGGCAGTGCAGGGACTCGGCTCTAGCATCCTCCTGCCCCTCCCCCCAAGGCTCAGATCTGAAGTGCGCAGGGGATGGAGAACAAGCGTGGGGAGCCCCGTGGGAAAGCCAGGCCTAGTGCTGGCCAGGTCACGGGGAATGAACCGAACGGGGCAGCTATTGAGGGATCCCAGCTTGGAGCAGGCAGAGGTTTAGGGGCCCCTGGGCCAACACATCGAGGGACCTGTCCTCCGGGAACTTCCCTTGGAGCTGGGTTCTGGCCTCCGTCACATCCCCCAGCAGAGAGTTCCGCAGGTTGGTGGGTGCAGTGCTTCTGTAGACCTGCCGCCAGTTAGTTTCACTTGGTGCATTAGGGACAAATAACAAGCCCCTAGTCGCTTTCTCTGCCCCCTTGGTGATTCTGTGGCCCCTTCTCATGTCCCCCCCGTGCGACGTCACTACCTAAATCGCTGCCGTGAGATGGGTGGGTTCTCCCTGCCCCCTCGTTAACGCACCTTTCCCAGGCTGGTGCTGCGCAGGGCGGCTGGGCCTTGAGCCACGTCTCCAAAGCGGGCCGGGCCCAGGTTCTCGTCTCGCTGCCTCCGGAGCTGCTCCGGGCCCGTCGTTCCCTGCGCCGTGTCGGATGCGAGGCCTCGGTGGGAGCGTGCCTGGTTCCTGCCTGGCTCAGCAGCGTCCCAGCGCTCGCCTTGGCTGCTGGCCCCGGGGACGGACTTGGGCGGATCGGGGCACCGCCGTGGCTACCGGACGGGGGC